ACAAAATAATGTTCTTTTTAGCAACATCATATGACCCCTTTACATAAGGTTTTCATCGAATATTTATATTTTATTTTAACCTGTATTTTAATGTAACTATATAGTACTATTTAATATTGAATATACGGTTTATTAAGTGAGATAATACAAAATCATACATTTGTGTATGTTTTTATCTTTTTTATTTTTGATAAAAGACACATTGAGGGTCTATTAAACCTGAAATATTTGTGCTTTCCTGTTCCTCCAGGACCATGTTTGTGAACTTCTAAACACTGTTGACGCTTGTCAAGTTTTCTTTGACATTGTGAGTTGAATGAATGGCAATCAGCATTATATATCTTTTGAATTTTTTGTTCAGTGACATGGCAGATGTATAACAAAGTGTCTTTTTTCCACAATGCAGACTGTAAATTTTGACCTCACAAAGAACTACCTGGATTTGGTGGTGACATACACTAACCTGATGATGCTGCTTTCTCGAATTGAGGAGCGCAAAGCGATAATCGGCCTCTACAACTATGCCCATGAAATGACACACGGTTCAAGGTAATACATATAAAAATAGCATCTTATGTAAAGCCGCATACTGCTGAGGTCTGAGTATTGTGTGATGTTTCTTGTTCAGTGATCGAGAATATCCCAGGCTTGGACAGATGATTGTGGACTATGAGAACCCACTGAAAAAGATGATGGAGGAGTTTGTCCCTCATGGAAAAGTAAAAATCTGCTACAATGAGAGAAAATCCTATTACTCTGTTTCCCATCTCAAATGGAGGACATGTTTTAACCCGAGCTCTCTGCCATTTTCTGCCTACTTCTCTTTCTGTTTTTGACAGTCGCTGCAAGATGCGCTGGTCTCCCTGCAGATGGTGTACCCACGCCGAAATCTGTCTGCAGATCAGTGGAGGAATGCTCAGCTGCTCAGTTTGATTAGTGCTCCCAGTACCATGCTTAACCCAGCTCAGTCCGACACGGTCAGGATTCGCTGTAGTCCTTAATTGTTTTTGTAAACAGTCAAAAAACCTACAGTCATAGTATATTATTCTATCATACTAACCATCATGGCAAGAGATATATTTGATACTCTCTTCATGGATAACAACTCCACTAACGGCCTCTCATGCACACCATATAAATTAGTTCCTCACATGAAGCACACAAACCAAAATGAATGCACTCTGTTGATTCCAGTAGTCTGATGAAAGCATGTTGCTAAGCTCACAAACCAGTTAGCAAATAAGCACATAGTGTATACTAATGTCAGCGGTTTTGCCTTTGATTCTGGCCAAAACTAAGTATCATCAAGCTGTTTGAAAAAGCCCTAAACAGCATCTTACAATGCTTAAAAATAAGGGGCACAAGCCAGTGCTGTAATTAATAATTTTCAGTAATTTAAATAAAGCTGAGGATGGAAAACTTAAAAAAAATAAATAATTGTATCTTGGTGTATAACAGAAATAAGTTTAAGTACTAAAATTTGTAAAACGAAAATGAAATAAAACCAGTGACTCCTGTTGGATTTTTTTACGTTTATTTGATCAGATGTATTCTGCTGGTCTTTGTGTTTCAGATGCCCTGTGAATATCTGTCCTTGGACACTATGGAGAAATGGATTGTCTGTAAGTTTGTTTTAAAAACAGTATGAAATTTAAAACTGACACTTTTTGCTGTCTTATTTATACTTTGTATGATTCCTCTGTGCATCTTAATTTAAAATGTGATGCGA